CATCGGATGATAACCCTAACAAGTAATTGAAAGTATATTATATACTTAGAGTATGAAGTTAGTGATATATTGTTAAATACATATGTTGAATTGATCATATGTTAGTGTATTGTTATTCACTAAGCCTTTGGCTTATTACATGTTGATGTGTTGTCAGTTAGGTCTTGTTGTACCGTTGACTTGGATCTTGTACTTCGATGCAAGTACCAATCCTAGTGATAACTCCTTGTATTCCAACATGCAATTATACACCAAAATGTTTTATATGTCTATAAATGAATAATTTTTTGGGTGTATGTAGTACCAAAATTTGGTAGTTACCTAAGATAAGTTAATCAACTATTAGAAAAATTAAGAAAATGGTGATAGTATATATATATATATATATATATATATATATATATAATATATATATATATATATATATATATATATTATTATATATATATATGTAGTGTAGAGTAATTCGATAAAGGTATTGTTTTGATTTATGATACATAAGAGTTATGTGGAGTTGTAGTAATGAAAATTTATTATGACCAAAGGAATATTTTGGTTCTTTATAGGAGTAAAATATAAATTCCAATTAATTTTAGTTGTTGTAACAACATATTACAAAGTTAATAAATTCTTTGAATTGCATAACGACCCACTAGAAAGTATTGAGGAAAGATCTTATATGAAAAGGAGAGAAAGATGTCATATTCTAAAAAAAAGTTTGTAGTACGTGTATCAAAAGCTAAAATTGGTCCAACAATGGTTCACAAAATACGAGCAGTTTTGAAAGGAGGATATGAATATATAGGGACAAAGGTAACAGACTACAAAAACGTAAGGAGAGGAGTAAATAGAATCTTATGTTACAAGGATGCTCAAATAATTATAAACAAAATGAATGATCGTAGAGATCATTACCCGAATTATTCATTTGAGTTCATTCATGATGGAAATATGTTGGCTGCTACATTTTGGGCAGATGAAAGAGAAAAGGCTTTTTATGCAGAGTTTGGAGAAGTTATATCTTTTGATGCAACTTTTAGAACAAACAAGTAAGTTAATGTATATGTTTTACATAATTTATACATTTATGATTAAAATAAACTAATTATACTAAACACATTTTCTTTATGTAGGTATAAAATGGTATTTGTTCCATTCATAACAGTTAACCACCACAAGAAATCAGTTCCTGTTGGCGCTAGGTTGCTGAGTAAAGAGACAATTGAGTCTTATGAATGGCTAATTAAAGATTTTCTTAGATCTCATGAAGGTAAAGCACCAAAAGTTGTTCTAACTGATCAAGATCCAACAATAAAACAAGCAGTGGAATCTGTCATACCAAATTCAAGACAAAGACTATGCATGTGACACATAATGAAAAAACTACAAGAAAGGTATAAAAAAAACTGTATAACCATATATGATTAAGTATTCTAATAATATAAATTATTATATATCATACTGTATAATCATATATGATTAAGTATCGTAAGAATATGCATTATCAGATACCATAATGTATAATCATATATGATTATATAGTATGATATCTGATAAGTCATACTATTATAATTATTAATCATATATGATTATAATAATATGAATTATTAGATTTCATACTATATAAGCATATATGATTAATCATATTTCATTAAGTACTTTAAGAATATGAATTATCAGATATCATACTGTATAATCATATATTATTAATAATATATGATTATAGATTATGATATATGTTAATACAGTATATAATCATATATGATTATATAGTATGATATATGATAATTCATATTATTAGAACAGTTAATCATATATGATTATATACTATATTATCATATACCATAATATATAATCATATATGATTATATAGTATGATATATGATAATCATATTATTAGAATAGTTACTCATGTATGATTATAATAATATGAATTATCAGATATCATACTGTATAATCATACATGATTTATCATATATGATTATAGAGTATGATATATGATAATACAGTATATAATCATATATGATTATATAGTATGATATCTGATAATTCATATTAATAGAATAGTTAATCATATATGATTATAATAACTTGAATTATTGGATATCATATTCTACAATTATATATGATTAATCCTACATTATAGTACATAATCATAAATGATTACTCATATATGATATATCCAAATAAGTATATAATTTATACTTATATAAGTAAAATTGTTCATTCAGAGGTTACTGGTGATTTATTTAAAAACAAAGACTTCAAGAAAAGACTTAACAAGCTTGTATGGAACATGCATATCAAAACTGATCAATTTGAGAAGAAGTGGGAGTTGATTATTAATGAATTCAACCTCAAAGATAAAAGATGGTTCAATGTTATGTTCGAATTACATGAAAAATGGATACCTGCATACTTCAGTGACACTAGAATGTTTGGATTGATGAAAACCACTTCAAGATCAGAAAGCATGAATTCCTTCTTCAACACTTACTCGTAATCTGGAAATTTACTTTTACATTTCATGATAAACTATGACACAACAATCAAAAACAAAGAAATACACAAAAGGAGCTTGATCATCAAATAAAGAAGGCAATATATAAATTTAATTCACCACGACCAATAGAAAAACATGCTGCAAAAGTTTGTACAAGTACATTGTTTTATGAAGTACAAAAAGAAATATATAAAGGTTCGTAGTACTGCCAATACAAACATATTGGAATAAAAAACGGATGAGAGTTACACAAAGTGGAACAACTGAACAAAAAACAGTGATCTAAAAAGAGAATTTGAGGTAATATATTCTTATTTTAATTTTTGATGAATCAAAATATAATATACAACAATTTTCAGTTATGATTATAAAACACATAATGCTTTAATTTTATTTTGAACATGTAGAAATAAAACTTCCAATAAATGATGTAAAACATATTTGTGAACACTTCAACCGCTTTGGGACTTTGTGCAGACATGCATTCAACATACTCATGAAACATGAAATTAAGGAAATACCTGAACAGTACATTGAGAATCGTTGTAGAAAGGATGTGATATCAAGGCATTATCACTTTGGTAAGCATGTATATGATACAGGAGACAGTGAAATTAACAGATCTGCCAGTCAAACATAATACAACTTTGAAGCATGCTTAGAATACATAAGAAAAAATCAAGACACGATGGATTTGTTTGTTAAGAAAACAGAAAGCATGTTGAAGTAATACGAGAACGATCCTACAAATGAATTGCAGCAAAATATGACAGATGTTGAAGAGGTAGGAAAGCTTATGAGCATTTCTATTCCAAAAGACATTGACATCAATGTTCAAAGCAATAAAGGAAGTGAAAAGAAAAATAGAATTCAAAGTGCAGCATAAATAGCATATAAAAGTTCAAACAAGCAAACAAGAAGATGCTCAAAATGTGGAGAAACGCTCCTCATAACTTGCGTACATGCCTATAAAACTTGCAGTAAAATAATCATCAAAAGTTACATAGATAATTACTAGTGTAATCAGTAATGAATAATTCAGGATTTTGTTTTCTAAATAATATACTTTTTAGTAAATTACACAAATGGTCCCTATGGTTTAGGGTAATTTGCGCGTTTGGTCCGTAACTTATTTTTTTAACTCGGAAGGTCCCTACTGTTTGTTTTTGTTACGCGCTTGGTCCCTGTCTTAGTTAAAAAGACTATTTTGCCCTTGATTTTTTTAATTTATTTAAATAAACATTCCCCCAACCCCACCCCCTCACCTTACCTTACCTACCCCACCATTTTTTCTTATTTAAATAGTAGTTTTTTTTAGGTAAGAAAGGGACCAAACGCGTAACAAACATAAACAATATGGACTAAACGCATAACAAAAACAAACAGTAGGGACCTTCCGAGTTAAAAAAATAAGTTAGAGACCAAGCACGTAAATTACCCCAAACCATAAGGACCATTCATGTAATTTATTCTATACTTTTTGTTTGGTACACTTTACTCTTTTTATAAAACAAAATTTACTTTGATAATTCTTTCTTTGATTTTAGTAGACGTACAACAAAATAGTTTTCTTGAATTTTTTCTCTCTTAAACCTTCTTCTATGTAACTTTATGTCTTTTATGATTACAAAAGTATATAATCTTTTATGATTAAACAAAACATATGAAGTGGTATTACATAATCATTTATGATTATACAAATAAAAGTAATTACGTAATCTGTTAACTGTTATTCAATACATGCAATCATAAAGGATTATGTAATACCACATCATATGTTTTGTTTAATCATAAGTGATTAAAAATATGATTACATATAAATAATATCAAATATCTACTACAAAACTCATTACATAGAACCATATACAACAACATTGTTCCTAATGAATATACAACAATGTTCATAAAAAATATAAACATAACAATATCCATCTAGAAAATCAAATTCTAATCACTCATCATAGAATTTCATCAAACATGATAAGATCTTCAATAAAAAATAATTTCACAAGTCTCAAATATCACGTTCCCATTTTCCCAGATTCTTGTTCTTCATATTCCTAGCTAGATTTTCATACAGATTGTAGCTGACTCCAAGAACACTTCCACCATTACTTAGAAAGATTATCTCCATTGAACATAAAAAATCTTTACTACATATTTGATGTAGAGAAATGTTGTTCATTAAAAAGAAATCTTCTTTAAATGAACAACTTCCCTCTACTTCAAAGAAATCTAGTAAAGATCTGATATGTTCAATGAAGATAAACGTTTTAAGTTGTAGCACCTGGTTCTTGGTACACATTCTTTTCTTTAAATATTTTGCATTTTGGCCTTGGACTCGCCGAGTTGAAGGACCAAATCGTCGAGTAGAAGTGGGATGAGACACAGAGTTTAAGCTTTGGACTCGACGAGTTGGGTCCCGGACTCGACAAGTAGGCCCTGTCTAGACAAAAACCCTAACCCGAGGGTTTACACGCTATTTAAACACCTTAACTTGGCCTCCTTCGTCCCATTTGCTCCCAGAAGACCCCGATAGCAAACCCTAGTCGTTATTGAAGCAATCTAAGGCATTTGGAGTGATTTTGGTGCTTTTGTGATCCAAGGAAGGAAGGAAAAGCTTGAAGGATCAAGAGGAGGCTAGAAGAATTCGGTTTTGAGCATCATTTAAAGTTTACAGAAGGTAGAAAGTCTATACATTGCTTGCACTTTTGATAGATCCCATTTTGTGGAGTTTTAGGGCTTTTCTAAGCCATTTTGATCACCAACCATGATTGCAAGCATGGTTGGGGGTTGATGTTTCGGATCTAGGTCTTTAGAGGGGTTACAAGGCAGAAAGGAGTGGCTTTTGCACTCAAAGAAGGCCCCATGCATTGTAAGAGCTTGTTTTAGGACCTTTTGAGCTCAAAGTCCCATGCAAGAACATAAAGGTTGTAACTTTACGTGCTAGGTCGATTGTAGAAGCATAGATCTATCTTTTGACCGAAGGTTGTACATTAGAAATCGAAGTTTTAGTGAGGGGATGTGACCGACTCGATGAGTCCATTCTTGGACTCGGCGAGTCCAAGGTTTCTGTCCCATATCAGCGATCAAAAGAACCCAGTTGAGTATGGAAAGGTTTTAGGGAGTCATGGGGAGTGACCCAACGTTCTGTACTAAGCCATTGTTCTAGAAATTCATGGGACTCGGCGAGTGCATGAGAAAACTTGGCGAGTCCAAGGCAATCTTCTTAAGGATGAAGATGAACTAGACAAGTTTTTCATCAAATCGACGAGTCGAGGATAGAACCTGTTCATCAAGATGAAGGTGAACTCGACGAGTTGTTCATCAACTCGGCGAGTCGGATGAGTTTCATGTGATGTTAATATGAGAGAAGAACTCATCGAGTTAACGGCTCAACTCAACGAGTGGGGTCATGGATGAGGACGAGTAAAGAGTGAGGGAATCGGCGAGTTGACGACGCAACTCAGCGAGCCGGGTTAACTTGAAGTTGACTTTGGCTTTGACTTTGACTTGGTCAGGGGTAAAATGGTCATTTTACCCTAAGAACAGTTAGCAGTGTATGACTAAGTGTTTTGTGGGAATTATAGCCAGAGGACTTCCAGGGCAGCAGTGACAACAATCAGAGAATTCCCGCACAGATCAGCAGCTACTACGAGGTGAGTTACCTTCCAGTAGCAGTGAGTCTATGGACACAATGTCAGCCCACCAGTGGGAGTTGTATATTAGATGATTGTCTTTGTGATATCATCTAGGTTTGCTACTACTTGATATGTTATATGCTGGCATGATATGTTATATGTGATAGTAGTAGAGTTCGGTTGTTAGAACCGAAGGGTAGGTCAGACACCCCAGATATGTCTGATAGTATGTGATGCTATGTTTATATGTTGGCATGATATGTTATATGTGCTAGTGGTAGTAGGAGGGGAATAGTCCCCAAGTTCGGTTGTTAGGACCGAAGGGTAGTTCGGACACCCAAAATATGTCTGATTATATGTTTATGTTATGATATATGTGATAGTAGCAGTAGAGGATGGAATAGTCCCCGTGGGTCGGTTGTTAGGACCGACAGGCAGGTCAGCACCCTAGATAGGCTTGACATGGGTACGATGGCACCCCAGAATGGTCTTATGGGTAGGACGGCACCCCAGAATGGCCGCATGGGTAGGTCGGCACCCCAGAATGGTCGTACCAGGTATGTTGGGCACCCTAGAATTTCCTGGTAGCATGTATGCTATGTGATTGTATGGTATGTGTTATGTTGGGGGAACTCACTAAGCTTCGTGCTTACAGTTTTCAGTTTTGGTTTCAGGTACCTCTTCAGCGAAGGGGAAGGAGCTGGCGCGGTAGCGGCACATCATACACATGCTCTTTGTTTTCCGCACTATGATATATTCTGGGATTTGTACTCTGACATTATTATGTTTTATGTTTTGGTTTTCAGATACGAGACATGTTTTTATTAAATGATATGATTGAATGATATTTTGTTACAAATGTTTTGCAAATCACTTAATCAAAAATGAAATTTCTGGACGTGAAAATTGGGTCGTTACAAGTTTGTATCAGAGCCCTGGTTTGAGGGATTCGGACACAGCTTTGCGGGGCATCTGGACTCAAACCGAGGGATTAAAAGATTTTTACAAGGAAAATGACTTTCTAAAAGCTAAGATAAAAGAGTTTTGCAGAAGGAACAAGTTTGTGATGTGCGTGACGGGCGAAGCTCAAGTATTCCCCAAATACCCATACAATGTTATACTACGTTTATTAGATTAAGTAGAACAGCATGCTAGAATATGACTAAGGATCTAGAAATGATGCCTTATGTGCCTGCTTTATGTGATTTAGCTTATGTGAATTGCATGTTATTATTGAGTAGAGAACAGTAGGATAGCCTGTTTAGGTTATGCTTGATAGTATGAGATTAACATTGTATGCTAGTGCAGTTTCTCACTATGAGAATAGATTTGCTTGAATAGTTTTCTTGCATCTGAATG